TCGATTTTGAAAAACACAAACTGTTTGGGGTCTACGGTGGTGTAATTATATAGAGAGATCCCGCCATGGCCGCCATGCATGGCACCCTCACCGGCCCCCGGCCCCACAGCTTGGCCTTCCAACTTCGGGCGCCAGGGGTCAATGATCCGAGGCGCTGTGCTTCTTCACGGCCACCTTCGTCGGGCCGCTGGGTGCGAACGCGCCCCGCGGATGCCGCACGCGGCGGCAGGCGCGTTCGGAGCACGGGGCGCGCCAGGGAGGGGAAGGAAGGGTGAGGAGTTTGGGGCATCGGAAGTGGGCTGCAGGTGGACATAGAGGTCTTCCTCATGGCTTAGGAGGGCGTTGAATTTGTGAGACCCCACATGTTTTGCTGGTGACTGCTCCCTGGCTGGGCTACCAGGGAACGTGGAGCTGGGCGAATTCTGGATCCAAACCACTCGGTTCCCAGAAGTACATAGAGAAAATCCATGCCTGGACCCCCCACAATGACTTTCAACTTTGGGGTGGGCGGCTCAGAAGAATAGCTTTCGTAGAATCTTCACTGGACACAAGTCGCTCGAAGAAAGATGATTGGGAACATTCACACGAAACAATTCAAAGCACTTCGTCAAGCTATTCATGCGGACCAGCAACAAGTGGAGACCGTGTTTACGGAAACGAAAAGGAATCATTTCCCCAAGTTTGCCGGGAAGTGACGGAACCTGTTTCCAGATTCCAACTCTTCTTTGTAACCCATTTGGAGGAGCCTCGGTTGGCCATGTCCCTTTCGCCCGGGGATGGCGTGGAACTTCAGCAGCACTTGTCAAGCCGCGTTGACCTCAATGGTCGTCAGGGCCGCTTGCGCGAGGTAGACGGGGATCGCTGGGTGGTGGTGTTGGGTGAGGACCCCTGCGAGGAGTCAGTCAAGGTGAGGCCAGCGAACCTTCGGCGCACTCAGGAGGCCGGTGTTTGGTGCCGGGAAATGAATGGGAAAGCAGTGAAGCTGCAAAAGTGTGGTGACTTGGAGAAAGCAGAGCAGATTTGGACCACGCTGCTGTTCTTCTTAGCAACCGCATCTGACCTTGAGACGCTGAAGGTGATTTACAGCAATCGGTCGGCCAGTCGCTTGCAACGAGGTTCTGCACGAGAGGCGCTGACAGATGCAGAGAAGTGCGTGCAACTGGACATAACCTGGGAGAAGGGCTGGCTTCGTAAAATTGATGCGCTGGAAGCTTTAGGTGAGGTTGTGCGCGCATACGATGTTGTCCTAGATGGCTGCAAATGTCTGAGCAAAGACAAGAAGAAACACATCGAGGAGCGCAGAGCAAGGTTGGAATCCATGCCAGAGACGAAAGGTTTCTTGCGCGAAGATCTTGCGGTCGAGCCCTTTTGTTGTGCATGCGGCGCCTGCGGGCCAACCCGAAAGCTCAGCAAATGTGAAGAGTGCATGATGGTAAGCTATTGTGGCCCTGCCTGCCTTGCGCGCGATGCTGTTTCGCACGGAAGCCTCGGCCTGCTTAGCTTTAACCGGTGCATTGTAGTTCAAGCGTCCGAAAACACCTTAAGGCCAACTCTTTTGAATTGTGCTGTTCTATGCTGACTGACAGTGACTGACTACTGATTGATGGTAAGCTGACAAGTTGGAAGAACACCACAAAACGCATCCGATATACACGTACATGAATATTTATATTACACATATCTATATCATGTAGGTGTCTGTATAAATACAGTAAATATACAGTAAACTATACATATGTTCTGCTTTTGTCATATGAACGTTGATGCCTTTACGGAATTTACACCTGGTTTCGCGGAACTCTAAGGAGCTGTGTGCAAGGCTTTTCGGGCCGTCCGTGCTTTTGATGAACTTAATGAGTCCGGGCGCTTGTGGCGAGGCTGCTGTGATGCGCACGGACGGTTTCATGGATACCGGATCCTGATCGATGGCATCACGCGGTTTGAATTCCCATCCCAGGCCAGGACCTGCAAGATTGACAAGACAGGGTGAGAAAAAACCTGGACAGAAACCCACGAACCTGAATGCACACACTTACACAAACACAACCGGTCAAAAGCTGTTTGACACTCTTGCTTGTCACTCTTCAAACACACTCTATTCTGGGGTGACACTCTTCTAGGACACGCTTGTGCACCTTTGCCTCACGCTGTTTTGCACGACAGCCTTGCGGGGAGACTCTTGTGTGAGCCTCTTGTAGCACACTCTTGTGGGCCAGACCCTCTTGTGGGACCCTCTTACTCGGCCGCCGCAATCCACATGGCACAGCAACATTGCAGACGTAATTTAGTCCGCAGTGTGCCACAGACTGGATGAAATCATGTGACACCAAGCCCGATTGACACCACCAAGCGTCCCGCTCACCAGTGGCGCGCCGCGCTTACACGCGCTTACAAGTCCACCATACCAAGATCACGACAAGATGAGGTGTGTTCACAGGTCCAGCGCCAAGGAGAAACCAAAAAACGACCATCCAAGTGGGCACTTAGAGGAAATCAAAGCCATTCAGCCGGTTTTAGCAACAAACCTCTTTTTGATCCACACGTGGCAGAAAACTCCAAGTATGCTGGCAAACCCCAATATTGCAAACTGTGTACAACGTGTATTCTTCACGGATTCAAGGATCTCCCGCAGCTTTGTCGAACACCGAGCGAGCTTCCCAGACGCGAACCGCAGGTCACCGACCGATCCGCGCAAGCAGCATCCATTGCAACTTGGGGAGATTGGGTGAAGCTTGTGACATCTAGTTCTTCCGATGCTTGGGTTCTTGCCAAGGCGTGGATTCTTTTCATGCCCGGTGTCAATTTGTGTGCGACTTTCGCATCCCCTAGGCGAGGTTTGACCAAGCAACATTAAATTCCGATTTCGAAGTTCCCCAAAGGGCAGGGACCAATTCTTTGTGGAAGGACGCTACTAGGGGCTCCTGGCATCGCTACTAGGAACAAGAAGCTACCAGGGGCTCCCGGCCGTACTACTAGGAGCAAGGACGCTACTAGGGGCTCCTGGCCTTACTACTAGCAACAAAAAGCTATTAGAAACAAGAATTCTTTATGGTTTTTTGGCGCGTTGGCCCCAAGGATTGGGCACGGGATCCTGTCAGTCGGGTGTTTTCTCTGGAAACCTTCCGTCGCATCATCGCTGGAGACCAATTGGAGACTGCGGAGGATGAAGTCTTGCACCAATTGGCCAGCCAAGTTGCATCCTACCCTCTGACGCTCTTTCATTCTCTACGTTCCTTTGGCCTCCTGCCCAGCGGTAAGGACACAACTCTCGTGATCCATGTGATTGGTGCAGAGGCCGACAAGGAAGGAAATTATGCGCAAGAAATTCAGAGCATGCTGCAGACGCTGGTCGGCTTGTCTCAGTTGTTGCTCGTCTACATTGGTCCCTCAAATGTAGCATCAGACCAAGGATTGCAGGAACACGCCAAACACTTCCAACGTTTGCGGTCACAGCCTCAACGTGGACACGCTTCATCATTCTATTTTCGTGGGACTTACGCCGAGTTTCTAGCCAGTGACTTGTACTCTTCGCCGAGTTTGGTCATGGCTTTCCACCCTGGCTTTCACGACAGCACTTATCCATGGTGGCCAACTCTACAGTTTCTCTTGCACGAAGATGTCCCCTTGGCCCTCACCTGCTTCTCAGAACAAGACTTGAATGATACCAAACAGATGATTGTCGAGGGAAACGAAGTTTTCCGTGCAAAGGTTGCATTTGAGTTCAGAAATCCCTTTGCCTCACATTTCGTGACACCTGCACGTGAGGGGAAGAACGTGCCGAGGGCCTGCAACATGCACTTGCTGGGATGGCAGGGCATCCTCAAACGTTTTCCAAAAGGTGGCGGAGTTTTGGACGGATCACACATGGAGGTCATGGCGATGTGCACGATGCAAGCGGTTTCCACGGCAGCTACACCAGCACAGCACTACATTCTTCAAGAACGTGCCAGGAGTTACCTGCACTTTGCAGCTGCGTTGGAACGTCGTAGGCCCTGTGTCGGTCAGAAACTGATCTCAGAAGAGATGCCAGAGGTGTGGAAACAGCTTATGGGCCCATTGTGCTAACCTGTGAGGAATTTCCAAATGCCGTTGAAGACGGACGCATCGAAGCAAGACAGAATTGGCAAGAAACAGTTGCGGGAGCACCTGGAGATCTCAATTCGGGGAGGTGTATCTGTGGGTTTGACAAGAGGTGAGTGGCATGGGTGCGAGTAGGACATGTCAAAGAAACACATGTTTCTTTTGAGAAGACAAAACAGTTTTGAGTCGTGTCTCCAAGTTTGAGTGCACTCTATTTCTTAGAGTTATATATTGATATACCGTACTACCGTACCTGTCTTTTGGGACACGGAGGGTCTTCGTGCAACATCGCCACTTGTTTCCAAGACGCATGAAGAATGGATCCAGCAGACCTCAACAGAAAACTGGAAGATGCTCAACCCATTAACCAAGCTTGACTAAGCCTTTTTGGTGCGAGCCCCGGACAGGTGTGAAGGGGTGTACCCAGGTTTACCCACAGATTCGAAAACCACTACCTGCGGGGTGTGCTTCGTGGCGTCACATGGAGGGGAGTTGGGCACCGGCGGCGCTCAACGTCCGGACGCCCCCCGTCGCCGCTGGTGGACCCGCGCGGCCCGACTCGGCGCCAGGTGGCCACGGAGACGGAGACGGCCTTCGAGACGGAGACGGAGCCGGTCGAGGTGGAGGACTTCTATGAACTGCTTGGTGTCTCCGAGGAGGCGGACGTGAAGGAGATCAAGGCGGCATTCCGTGCCTTGGTGCGGTGGGTGCTTGGTGGGGTGGGAGGTTGGGATGGGGTGGATGCAGGGATATGGAGTTCGGAGGGTTTTGCGCGGGTGTGGTTGGAATGAGTTGTGGAGGGCAGCGCCCTGCTCAGGACAAGCGGCCCGCCTCACGCATCCCGACTTCTTTCGGACAAAGCCGAAGGAGGCCGCCAGAGCAGGTTTTGGCTGAGCAGACAGTGATAGGGGACGGCCATATGGCATAGCGTCCTGAGGGACTTGCCTCTGCCAGATGAAAGAATTTGATATACTGTAGTTCCTACCTTCCCTACCATACCACTCTGCCAAGCCGAACCATTCTGTTTTGAACAGGAAGTTTGTTTTCCAGCATTCTAGTGTCAGGGTGATTCTCCAGTTGCAGCTCAGTCTTCCGTCAAGAACATGTGCCTCCCCCCACATGCGGTTCCGCCGAAGACGCCGCCAGGAGCGGGAAAAAGCACAGGAGCGTTTCACCCAGGCGCAGCGTGGGGTGAGGTCGATGTGTTTTTTGCCACCGTCGATGAGGGCAGATCGACCGACAATGCATGAATGAATTTGATGGGACCGGGCCGAATCAGCACCGCTCTCAATTGGGAGCTCTCGCATAGGTGTTGCCGGTAACAGCTCTCAGAGGCTGTCGGTTTCGCGGTTGCGCGGCAGGTGAACAAGGCCTTTGAGGTTCTCACGGATCCCAAGAAGCGCCAAGCCTATGACTTGCGAGGCCCGGGCCCAGATGATGCCAGATGGAGCTTCGCCAGATCGGGGGTCGGATCATCGAAAAGATTGAGCGAGATCCAAACCTGACGGTCAAGCAGGTTTTGGATGTGACCTTTTTCTTCATTTCACCGTGGCTTGCGGTTGGTATTTCTTTATTCCCAAAAGCTGAATGCAGTTGGGTTTCAATCTCTGGGGCTGGGAGTGGTCCACAGTTGGGTTGCCAAGCTGGGTTCATTTTTGGGTGCCCTGTTTTCGATGCCTGGCCGAGTCTTTGGGCCCCTCCCCTCGGACAGCTGTCCTCGGCTGGTAGGCTTGGCGGGCCTGGCCGAGTTCGAGTTCAACGGCGAGCGGATCATCATGCCCCCGCCCTGGCGGGTGCGCCGCTGGTCCCTGCACAGAGGGGATGGAAGGTGATGTGGCTACGTGGGGGCCTTGTTTGACCACCTGAAGAGCTGAAGGCGTTCATAGTGGGGCTTTTTTGGCCTTAGAGACTTATGGAGAAGGGCTGAAGAACTGAAGGAGAGAGTTTGTGCTGTTCGGAGTCCGGCAGTGTTGCCACCTGATCATTTGCAACGGCTGCCAATCATCAGCACACCGCGAGGCACACAACACTGTAGTGGATGGAGAGTAGATGGCAAAATGGATCCCCACTTACGAAAAGAAATACATGTCGGGGTGCCAGTGCCATCCACTGCTGAAGCTATATACATTTATATAGCTATAGTGGTCCCCAAATAGATAGTGACACAGTTTCCAATACATTTTCTATGCGGACATCTACTTTTCTATCTATTTGGTGGGTCTATGTATTGATCGCAAGTTCCTCTCTTGACGACCCACATTGAAGTGCTTGATCACCGGCCGTGGTCGACTGCCGCGCTGCGCTCCCGCGCCCCCCCGAGGTGTGGGCTACACGGGGCACCACTTCTGGAAGATGAAGGACCGGACCCGGCGGATGCCGACGGATCCGAAGCCAGCTCGCCCATGGAGGACGCCCATGGACGGTCCGGGGCGGAGCTTCGTCCGACCGGCCGCGCGGAAGCCGATTCAAAGGGGGAACACGTGCAAAAGACCTGGTGCATTTGGCCATGATTTAGCACGAGGCCTTCTGCCGGCCTCATTGGAAGAAGTGAGCGTTGCAGGCTGGCCAAGAGAGCACCCTGCTACCCCACCAGAAGTGTAGCTTACTTTTGTGCAAAGAACAGACAGCGCCACCAGGAGTCACAAAGGGGTGCTATCCATAGCGGATAGGGGTGCCCCTGTCACATCCACAAAACACCACCCAACTCCCTGTGACTCCTTGCTCCTAGCAGCGTCCTTGCTCCCAGTAGCGATGCCAGGAGCCCCTAGTAGCGTCCTTGCTCCTGCCAGGAGTACTTTGTGGGCTTCATGTTGGAGACGCTGCCGGACGTTTCCCACGAAGTCATCCTCAGTGCCTTCGAAGAGGCGCGAGTCACAGGAGTCACCCTCATCCACCGAGGTGCTCGGCTTTGGGATTCGTTTCTTGGGATGCAGGCATCTTGCAGAAGGAGAACCCAAGGGTCCGAGGGGTGGGTTTGCCTTCGAAACATGACGATCCTAGTTCAAAGGACTTCAACGGATTGGCTGCCACTTGGACGAGTTTTTTGACTGCCAGGCCACCAAGGATCCGATTGGAGTGGGACAGGCGGGACGGGATCTCGATCCGTGAGCCGAGGGGTTCGTCCGTTGATGAAAAGGTGTTCAGGACCTCCGTGATGGAAATCGCAGGTATTCTGGAGGTTCAATGACCCATTCTTTGGGCACGGCGTGTGGTGCCATTGACATCATGCGGGGTTTAGAGAGTTTTGTGAGACCAGACGTGGCATGGATCAAAGGAAGAATTTGCATGAATTTGTGACACCGTCACGTTTTTCACTCGACTGCGGCAAAACCATTGGATGCCCCGACCGAGAATAGGAAGGAAGATGTTGGTTGCATGTTGCGAGGGGATGCTTTTTCGCCACAGCCAGGAGTCGTTGGTTGGCGACGAGATGTTTTAGAAGCAGGGACCGAGTCGTTGTCATTGTCGTGCTTCACCCACATCACGACTCACAGGAACGCACATCACCAAACAATGACCCTCGGTTCCAAAGAATCCTGCGTGAGACCAAATCCGGATGAGCGTTGGTCAATCCTGTTTGCTTCATTCACCCTTGTGAGAAACCAATCCCTGGACCAAACCTTGGTAGGTTGACCTCCCTGGTACGGTGGTCTCTGTTCCCTTATAGCGGTGGTCTCTCCCCTCGCCCCCCCGTTCGTGCCGCCGACACATCGCGAGGCGATCCTGGTGGACCGATGCACAGAGAAGCACGCGAAGGATGTGGTGGAGGCCCTCCAAGAGCCACCTGGCGCCAGCTGCTAGCTGCTTTGGCAAGCTGGGCTCGGTTGGGAAACGATAGCCTCCTGATTCATCAAGCTCCCCATTTGGAGTGCAGAACCTTTTCCTTTGGAGGGTTGGGTGGGTGGACGGGTTTTTCCCCCATGTGGCCGATCGTGGTCCTGAAGGGTGGGGGCTCCCTGGTGACCGGTGGAAGGATGCCATGAGGGGGAGAGTTGCCAGTGGAGTCGACCAGATGAGCCCCAAAACGCTTCGGTGCCTGGCAGGTGTGCAAACAGATCGACCATGGTCGAAGGTGGATCTATTCTGGTCGGGTTCCGCAAGTGTTGCTGCACCCCGTGTTGAACAACATGTTCAAAGTGAAAAACATGGCGCACGACCTGGCAGGAGTGTCAGATGGCGCCGGTGCGGCAGAGTGAGCCATCTTACATGGGGGACTGCACCTTGAATCCCTTTGTTTGCAAAGCTTTCTACCATTGAAACGCAACCTAATGCAGCATTGCGGCACCGAAGACCATTGGCGGCGCCGAAGTAAATAAAGCAGGGTCGCAAGGGGAAATCTGCGAAGATCATGGAGTTTGTGAAATCCGCGCAGACCAAGAGATTTGATACATGCATGTATGTTGGTTTTGGATGTTTTCTTTTTTTCTCCAATGTATGCCCCGTACATTTCTGGTGCAGTTGTTTTGGAAGACATTTGTATGCCCAATCCAGATTTATGGCTTCTTAAAACGCATGTACTGCACTGCGCTGAACCAACTTGGTGCCCCTCCGCCGCCCCGTTCGCAGCCCAATGGCTCAGGTATGGCCTCGTTTGTATGTGTGAGGAGGTGCCCGACGAAGAGCTTCGCGAAGAGGAAGATGAAGAGGAGGCAGGGCCGCAGGTGCGGGGGTGTCCCGCCGGTGCATTTCATTCAGGCAATTCTCATGATAAGCAGGGTTTTGAGGACACCTCGGATTCTAGACAGCACCTGCAGATGATCTACACCGACACATTGTGCGGAAACGACGTGCAATTCATAGAACATCTGGTGCCAAGATCCTGAGGCATGCATGCTGCGGCATTTGGCATGTTCGCGTGCTGCCGTTCCGTGCAGGCGGAAGAACCCAAGCCGAAGCCCGTGGTCAAGCAAGCGCCTACCCAGCCCAAACCAAAGCCTCAGCCGGTGGTCAACCAAGTGCCTCCAACTCCACCGAAGCCACAGCCTCAGCCGGTGGTCAACCAAGTGCCTCCAACTCCACCGAAGCCACAGCCTCAGCCGGTGGTCAACCAAGTGCCTCCAACCCCACCAAAGCCCCAGCCTCAGCCTGTGGTCAACCAAGTGCCTCCAACCCCACCAAAGCCAAAGCCGCTGGTGGACAGGAAGCCGAGCAAGAAGTCTCCAGCTCCTGTGTCACCCCCCCCCTGCACCAGAGCCTCCTTCAAAGTGGCACTGGCCCCACTCAGCCGGGTCCCCGCAAGAAGCCTCTGGCTCCCGTGTCACCCTCCCAACTCCACCGCAGCCACAGTCTCAGCCGGTGGTCAACCAAGTGCCTCCCACCCCGCCCAAACCAAAGCCTCAACCTGTGGTCAACCAAGCGCCTCCAACTCCACCAAAGCCAAAGCCGCTAGTGGACAGGACGCCAAGCAAGAAGTCTCCGACTCCCATATCACCCTCCCCTGCACCAGAGCCTCCCTTAAAGTGGCGTTGGCCCCACTCAGCAAGGTCCCCACCGTGTTACCAAGCGTCGGAGGTGATCTTCAAGCGTCGCCGGTAGGACAAAAAGTTCTGTCGCAGATGGGCTGGCAGGGGTTCAGACCATCCAGCTAGTCCCTGGAACAAGTCGCCTACTTCAACTCAGAACCTTCGATTGGTCCGCTTGGGACCCCAACAAAACGTTGGGTTTCTTTCAAAGTCTCATGATGATTGGATGATTTTGGGCGGAGATTTTGGGGCGGAGACCCCCGCAGATCGATCGCGTGAGGGCTGCAGCGCTCCAGCAGCTGCCCAGTACCCTGTCAACCGTGGAGGGTCATCATGTCATCCACATCAGGTCCATTCCTGATGTCCCAAATCAGGTCCATAAGCCCCACTTTGTTTGGGGCAAAGCATGGGAGATCTGGGGACCCTGGCCCGCCCAGGTACACTCCTCGACCAGGCTCCCAGGAGATCGTTCTTCCTTTGTTTTGGGACCATCACGTGATCGGCGGGTGTGGCGGACACATCCGGACGTGAACTGGGGTGGAACACACGGGCACCTTCTTGAGCGGAGCATGGACCGTGCGTAGTTTCATGTATTTTCTTAGGGCCAACAACGGGGTGTGTGCTAGATTGGGTTCGCTCGATTGGCTGATTGGGTTGGATTTTTGGGGCCTGGGGGTGGAATACTTGCTGCTTGTGGATGTGGGTGATGCAGAGATGCTGCCGACTTCCGTTCTGTGGTCAGCAAATCTACACGGGCAACTGTGCAGCCGGGCCTAGCATTTGTCCGTTTCTGAGTTCCACACCACTCACACCTGAGCGAGGTTGACCGGAAGGTGAGTTAGGATACTTCGAACCGAACGACTGGCCTCATGATCAACACAAGCCCTTGCTTCTTCATGCCCTCCTCATCTTCCTCCTCGTTCCTCGTTTGGGCCAGTGGGCCCCCACGTTGAACATGCCTACCTTGTTTGGGCCCATTGAAGGCCCGTTGGACATCGTTGGAGCCACTGCCAGGAGCCAACCGAAGAGGCCAATGAGGAAGACGACAAGGCCGACCACTCCGGCATGTGGCTCGTGCGCGTGGCTCTAGCAGCTACGCAGCTACAAAGGTCCAACTCTTATGGTCAATTGGTCATGGAAAAGAAAAACTTTCACCTGCCTTCCCCTCTTCCAACAGCATCCTCTCCAAGCAGCGGAAAAGCAGAGCCCTTACAACCCTCAACCCACAAATAAGAACCAAGCAACTCCCCTCCCGACCTTTCTGCAAGATCAGCCCTTTCTGGGTCGCTCTGGTGGATTTGGGGAAGATGGTCCGATCGGATGGGCGGCGCGCGCGATCGGGGCCTCCAGGTGTCCTCACGTGTCCAACCCATGACGTCCTTCAGGCCTCTGGGGGCACCCCAAACGGTCCCGCCCAGCACGGGACGCGGGACCCGCAGGATCCGTTGCGCCTCCGCCGGACCGGACCGGCCGGATGTCCCGACACGACGCGCCAGGGCGAAAGCGATGAGGAATCCGATGGCATGCTTTTGGTGGTGCGGGAAGTCTTCTGAGAGCGGGGAGTGTGCACACACACACACACATACATACATACATACATACATACATACATACATACATACATACATACATACATACATACATACATATATACATATATATATATATATACAGGCTCACACAGGTTTTTGAGCAACCCAAGGTTGCACACTGCACACCCTCGTCCATGTCAGGGCTTTTTCATGCTGGACGGGAGGAAGCCCCTTCGTTTTCGAGATCGCAAGAGATCGACGTTCCAATGGTGGGACTTTTTAAAAGTGTCAGGGCCTGCATGATCAGGACGTGCCTTGTCGTGGGGTCTATTGGTCCCTTGTCGTGGGCAGTTGTCATTGGTGTTGTTCTTCTCGCCATTTCCTTGAGAGGACCTGCCGGTGGCGAAGGTGGTCGCTCAGGCCTGTTCGGGTGATGCCAGGGCTGCCAGGTGGTCATGAACCAGGACCAGCACCAGTCTTAGGTCCCAGGGGAGGTCCCAGGGAGGTTTGAGCTGAGCGGAGTCCTTCAGCAAGTTGTCCACCGTCGAGCTGGATGGACCGAACGCCAATGAGGTTCCTACCTTTCAGGATTTGAAGTGTGCCCAAATGGGGGGTGCAGGTGGACGTTTCACCTCGTAGGGCGATGCCAGCCGCTTCTCCAAGAGACCTCAACCTCCTACTCAACACCCAACACCAAATCACTCAAAACCTGGAACTCACCGCAGCGGAGGAAACTCACTTGGTCAGGAAAACGTGATGTATAGTCCCTTTTTGCCCGCGGGGTTTGTCAGGCTCCTCACTTCGAAACCCGCCGAGGAAAAAGCAATGTGACTTCGGTTCAGAGGTGGCAAATCTGCTCGCCCGCGGCTACAAGGTGGAGTCAGCAAAGGAAGAGGCACCGAAGGAGGAGGCACAGAAGGAGGAGGAATCGAAGGAGGAGGCACCGAAGGAGGACAGCGGTGGACGAATGAGGCATTGTAGAGCTGCGTGGGATCATCCACCTGCTCGGTGAAAGCTGAGTATGACGGTATGTGTTCAGTGTGACCCATCATGGAAGAAACGCCTTCCAACAACCACCGTTGATCATTCCTTGAGTTCCACCCAAGTTGTGACACATAGCATGAGCTTGTCGCAAAAAAACCGACTTTTAGCATGAGTTGTGTCAGGCTTGTCAGCAAATGTTCATGGCAGTGTTTGTTCCTCCGGCCGGGACCTACCGGTTTCTAGAGTTTGTGATTTCACAATCCTTATGGGCCGCTCCCATTGTGGATGAACCCCGTTTGAGTGGCAAACAAGAGGCCCGTTCGGCCACGAATTCGTGATCCAAAACGCATGGCAAGGTAAGACAATGCATCATTTAACTTGATGAACTGCTTTTTACACCTTCACTCCATGGTCCTGATTTTGCACTCGCTAGCTTGCGTGCTAGGCTCTCCCAGTCATGTAGCAGGGTAAGTCGCCGATGTCCAAGAGAGAAAACGGATGCACACAAGATCCCCTGGGGCAGCTGAAGCACCGGCAGGCTGGTTCACGGGTGAGCCAAAAAGTCCACCCATCCCTCATACCGCTCCACCAAGCTGCTGTGCAACTTCACCTCTGACTTCGCTTAGCCTGAGGAGGCGGACGACAAGCCTGAGGAGGCCACCGACAAGCCTGAAAAGGCCAACGACAAGCCTGAGGCTTTGTGGGGCACAGTCACTTTTGGCTTTCTGAGCCGTCTGATGCTTTGACAAATGTAGTCGGGAGGCGGCCGACAGGTTTGCCTCGGGCTCGTCAGGGTTCGCCGGGCAGCCTGCCGCCGTGAAATGTGTGGTTCACTCGCATCATTTCAAGGACCGGGCCATCTCTGACTTTTTTGTTCCATTGTAGCGTATGGTAACAGAGGAGATCCATTTGCTCGGCTCAGTTTGACCCGTCGCCCTTTTCAGTCCCACCAAGTGTTCACAGGTGATGCTAAATGCAAACCTATAGGCCAAAGACTTCAGTTGAGCTGGAATTGATCATACAAAAACGCGCTACTCAATGAGGTCAAGGAGCAGGTTTTGCCGTCATTATTTTTTTGGGGGTGGACCTTGTAGGGCAAGGTTTCCATACTTTTGGGAGGTCCTTGAACCAAACAAACCGCAGACGTGCCAAAACATCGCCACCGTCACCGCGGTTGGTTCATCAGCGAGCTGGTTCATCGCGTGACGTACGTCCCACGAGTCTTTGTCTCTCGGCAGGAGGCCCCAGCTGGGAGGGAGCAGAATGAATGAATGAATGAATGAATCAATCAATCAATCAATCAATCAGTTATACAAAATCAAAATGATCTTGTATGAAAATAGGGGAATTCACCTTTGCTGGTCGATTTTTCACAAACAAAGGGGATCCAAGTGAGGCAGTGCAAATGCTGCTGCGCGAGGGGACGCAAAATTATGTTTTTGATGTGGATGCGTATGAAGGCCATCTCGTTGTAGGGGATGACAAGCCCTCGAAGTCTCGATCCCGTCGAAGTGAAAAGCGCAGCGATTTCTGCAAAAGGCGTAGCGGTCGATTGGCGGTCAAGGGCCCTCGTAAGCCCAACAGCGAACGGAAAACATGAAATCTACCAATGTGCATTCGTGACATTGACACGGGAGGAAAGTCGTTTCTTCAGACCCATCTCGACCGAATCAAGTCATGGGGAAAATTCAAAAATGGCCCTTCGCGATCGTCAATCGCGGTGAGGATAGTAGGGACTGCAAAACAACCAAGCACCATGCTGCTTCTCAGGCAGCAAAACAAACTTGTTTCTCTCAGGGTCCAGCGTCAGCGGGGTTTGGATCTGCTTGTCCTGAACTTCATAGTCCAGAAATCTTTTCTGCAGCTTCTTTCAAGGCTTTCGATCTCTTCTCTTTGCTTTTTCACCAGCATGTCCGTTTCGATCATGAACAGTAGCCGGTCGTTGTACAAACGATTCCACAGCCGTATCTGGTCAGAGGTGCAGTTCACTGTGTCCTCAATGTCCAGGAGTTTCTTGTAGGTGCGACATCGAGTGTCGGTCCAATTCTCTTGGATGATCACTCCACGCAGCGCAGAATCAATCTGCATGTTCTCATCGTCGCCAACCACTTCTCTCAGAAAGCGCTTCCAGCGTCGTTGGTTCACCTCATTTTCGACACTCTCCTTGATTTGGTTCCAGCGAATCCATTCAGCTTCATTGACTTCAGGGTCGTCGTTCACAGAGGAACTTCCAGCGTCGCTGATTCTTTCATCCACTGCCAGCTCTTCTTCTCCAAGATCGCCATGGCGCGGCAGCGAGTCAATCTCAGGGACTTCGTCATACTGTGTGCTCTCATCCCTGACAATCATGTCGTCATTCTCAGGCTCTGCTTCATTCTCAGGCTCCTCATGGATTTCAATCTCATTTCTTGCAGCGCGAGGGATCACACGCCTGAGCACGAACTGGCCAAAGGTGGTCACAAACACATAGACCTTGTAGGTCACAAACTGCAAACCAACAAACGAAAAAAATACCACCACCAACAAAGTCCACCACAGGCGTTCATCTCTGAAGTTC